CCTTTTCAAATCCTTTTTACTACTCTATGGTATATTTATTTATTTATTCATGTTTTGCTGTTTATTGAGAAGCACTGCATTGTATACCTGATGTGCAATGACCATAAAGATTGTATTCCATTTTATTTTTAAATTTCAATCTACCCATTGAACAGCTTTTCCTAGCTGTTGAGTTTTAGATTCACATTGTGTTTAGTTTCGCTTCACCTCATTTGCTCCATTTTCACCTTTTTCCAAATTACAGAGATTTTTTTTTAATCCTCTGGAAGTTGATGTCTTTAAAAGCACCCTAATTATCCGGTATCATTTGAAGGGTGCATAACAGTAAATACGCACACCAACACTCTTGAGTCATGTTCACATTATACCCCTCTTTTATCTAATATACCCTCATGCCCACCTGCATTGTGGGGGTATGTTGTAAAATCAAACTGTTGGTGCAACCTGGACAGGTTTGTCTCCAGCACAACGGATTCTGCAAAAATCTGATTGTGTTACAATAATTACAAATATTTATTTTTAGCCTATGTAAAGTGTGTTAGGGTCAAATAACATAAAAAAAATAATGAAATAATTTTATCCATTTTTTTTTCTTCCAATGGTTCTATCTATAAATGTCCATGGGATAAATTATTTAATTCTTCACTGTGCGGGTGAGATCGTTACCTCATTGAAACTTCTGCAGCTTTGAGTTGATCATTTTTTAGTGACTGGGGGTCAGCAATGCTGCCCTGACCATGATGCCACCTCCAGCATTCTCTGCAGCTGTTACGTGATCTCTGCTGTGCCTTTTTGTCCAAACCCCACTGTTTGCACAATGACTCAACTTTCAATGTGCTTTTCATGTGCTTACAGTTCATTGTCCCAAAAGAATTCACATCAAATATCAGAATAGTCTTTTATAAATTTCTCCGAGCTGTGGTTTCTATTGTTATAGTAATCTCATGACAGCGGTTTTATTCAGATTTTTTATTTTATGAATGCAAGAATAAAAACTATTAGTTCATGGTATGCAACGTGATGTTCTTGGTATCATTTACTTCTAAGAATACTCTTTTTTAAATTATAAGTAAGAACACGTGGAAGAACAAATGTGTGGAATATCATCTCCCAATATACCATGGAAGTTAATATGATATTGTATTATATCAGATTTCTTTTCTTAAGAGTAGACTTTGTCAGTGACCTGATATTTTATAGCTTGGAAGGGACACTCTGGTTCATTCACATTTCTTTTTGTTTGAAAACTTGACAGTGGGTTGCTCTAAAAAAAAAAAAAAGATTTGGCAAAGCTCAGTGAATTTTACCAGCGTGAAGTGACAATAATGCCTCAAAATGTTTGATAAAGACGCAACAGTTCCACTTTTTGTATTTCATTAGTCAGTTTTTTTTATAATATTGACTATAAAAATGAGTTAAATTTTGCTTTATAAGTTGATCAGCCTCAAAATTGTTCCCAAATTTATATTTTAGAAGAAACTGTGGTTCAAAAATCTTGAAATTTGTAACTGTATGATCATTTTAAACCTATGTTATCAAATGTAGTCAAATACAAAAATTTCCACTTGGACTAATAAAAGTGGGTGATGATATTGGTGCAGATAAGGTTTTGTGAATGCTGTTAATGTCTTAAACTCTCAGACGTTTTGTAATTTCTTGTTTTTCTTGTGCTTTTTTTTCGCTCACAAACTTGGTGACCTGTGAAAATAAAGCTCATCATAAAGTAGCAGTCTGTGTTTTATCAGCTGCTCAACATTAAATTCATATTTTTCCCATCCTGTCTTCCTCCTGCAGGTTTCCAGGACGTACATGTGATGATCTTTGTGGGGTTTGGCTTCCTGATGACATTTCTGAAGCGTTACAGCTTCGGTGGAGTGGGCTTCAACTTCTTGATTGCCGCCTTCGGTATCCAGTGGGCGCTGCTGATGCAGGGCTGGTTCCACTCCCTGGACTACACTGATGGGAAGATCAAAATTGGGGTTGAAAGGTAACTTATTTTGTCTGTGAGTGAAGGAATTGCATCTAAGTGCATCAAGAAGCCAGTTCTTGAAGTTTTACTTTGATTTGGTGGGAATTATGGAAAATATACTGCACTGCATGGCCCCATAAACCAGGGTGGAGCAACCAGTTTGACTGACAGGTCACAGAAAGGTCTTTTCAGCTGCTTTAGATTTCATTTTTGTGATTCTAAGTTAAACAGAAACTCGAGCTGTCAGGTGATAAAGAGCAGCCAGTTCTTTGTGTGTCAAACAATAAGAAATGCGTGTTTCATCGTGTGGTTTTCTCTTTGACTTGATGCATAAAGCTGATGTGTTTATGCTTTTGATTAAGCACATGTTCAAAGGCTTCAATATACGGGCACAACTTTAGTCACAATAAATTCTCTTCGGTTGTTGACCTGTACAGGTACATGTTAATGAGGATACTTTGTTCTTTACATCTGTGGCTTTCTCTCCTCAGCTTGATCAATGCAGATTTCTGTGTGGCTGGATGCTTGATCGCCTACGGAGCGCTGCTGGGAAAAGTCAGCCCAGTCCAGCTGTTGGTCCTCACTCTGTTTGGCATTACACTGTATGCTGTAGAAGAATATATCATCCTGAGTCTCATCCATGTGAGTCACAAAATTATTTTTAAATCCTATATCAAGCAGTACTAAAAGATTGAGTAATGTGTTCACAAATGCAGTGTGAATGCTGAGTGCTGAACGAGTTTATTGAAACGTGTTGAAGAAGTTAAAAGTAAATTGTGGGGTTTGGCTTCCTGATGACATTTCTGAAGCGTTACAGCTTCGGTAAAAATTTCAGTTAGTTAAAAGAAGAAGAGACACAAAGAGTGGAAAGACAGACTGAACCAGATAAAAATTGAAAAAACACAAGGGAGTAAACAAAGGGGACACAACAAAGATATAAAAGGCAACAGGGGTGCATAAAAACATAAAATTATTGATAGATTTCAGAAAAGACACAAAAGGACAATTAAACAAAAAGGATGCATTTAGGACAAAATGGACAAATAAGGAGAGTAAAAATTAAAAAGGATGCGCAAAATGACACAAAAGGAATATGCAGACAGAATAATAAAAAAAACATATGCATAAGGAGTTTAAAAGAATGTATAGTGAGACAAAAAGCCTATAGGGACCCATAAGGAGACATAAAAAGACAAATGTACGCTGAAGTAGATTTTGAAAAACAAAAAAATTTGGTCAACAGCTAAGATCCCTAAATGCATTTTAATCAAAGAAAAATACAAAGAAAGTTTAACATTTCAAAAGTAGAAAACCTACAAAAACCAGAAGAGTAGTTCCAGTCCAAAAACCAGACGGATCAACCAATAAACAGGAATACAGTATTGTGAACGCTGACTCAGCATTCACGCTATGGTGTAATATTTATTTAGCCTCATACAATTCTTCTACAGTTCATGTCTTTTTTCATCCTTGAAGGCCAGAGACGCAGGAGGCTCCATGGTGATCCACACGTTCGGAGCTTATTACGGTCTGTCCATTTCATGGATGCTCTATCGTCCAAATCTGGACCAGAGCTCCAGCCTGCAGCGCTCCGTCTACCACTCAGATGTCTTCGCTATGATTGGTGAGTTGGATTTATTCAACCTTTAGTTATACTGGTTAGTCTCATTGAGTCACAAGGACTCATTTGAAAGAGAGACCTGTTTTAGACAGACAATATATAGAATACAGACAACACTATACAACAATAAAAAGCAATTATAAAGAAGTAATGTCATTAAAACACTGTTACTGTTAGCAGCATGGTCCTGTTAGCAAAGAGGTCATGTTAGCAGTGTTGTACTGTTAACAGAGTGGTGCTATTAGCAGTGTGATGCTGTTAGCAGAGGGGTCCTGTTTGCACCGTGGTCCTGTTAGAAGCATGGTCCTGTTAGCAGAGTGGTTCTGTTTGCAGTGTAGTGCTGCTAGCAGTGCGGTCCTGTTAACAGAAAGGTCCTGTTAGCAGCATGGTCCTGTTAGCAGCATGGTCCTGTTAGCAGTGCGGTCCTGTTAGTAGCGTGGTCCTGTTAGCAGAATGGTTCTGCTAGAAGTATGGTCCTGTTAGCAGAGTGGTTCTCTTAGCAGCACGGTCCTGTTAGCAGCATGGTTCTGTTAGCAGAGAGGTTCTATTAGCAGCATGGTCTTGTTAATAGTGTGGTCCTGTTAGCAGAGTGGTTCTGTTAGCAGTGTCGGTCTGTTAGCACTGATGTTCTCTTAGCTGTATGGTCCTGTTAGCAGCATGGTGCTGTTAGCATAGGGGTCCTGTTAGCAGCATGGTGCTGTTAGCAGTGAGGTCTCTTAACGTTTAGTGCACAAATGCATGTAATATTACTTCCCCTGATGTGGTTTGTTTTGTTTACTTTTTAAAGCTTCGACACATCATGGTCCCCTTCCTCCCCTTGTTTTCTCTACAGGTACCCTGTTCCTGTGGATGTTCTGGCCCAGCTTCAACTCGGCCATCGCGGACCATGGGGACGGGCAGCACAGAGCAGCCATCAACACCTACCTGTCTCTGGCTGCGACCGTGCTCACTAGTTTTGCTGTTTCAAGCCTCTTCCAGAAACATGGAAAACTAGACATGGTAAACAACAAATAAAAACTTCTTATGATAAGCCATAAGTTTGAATGAGCATGAATTCAACAAGAGGATTTTTGAGTTGCTGTGAAGATTTACTGCACCTTTGCAAAAACACTTCCCTACTAGGCAAATTTAAATCATATTTTTCTACGTCTCCTTGCGCTTTTTAAAGCTTTTCTGCAGGTGAAGGCCTGTAGATACATATATGTCAATACCAAAAGGAATTATTTTCTCCCACATGTTCCAAAACTGCTCCTTAATTGGACTTTGTTCTTTTATTTATAGATTTCACAACAAAATACACGTGTTAAAAATGCCTGCTTGATAGCTTTGTTTTATTCATCATTAGTAAAGACTAAACAGATATCTATATGTTGTTATTTTTTTTAACAATTGGAGCTTTTAAGCCTGAAAGCAAAGGGACCTTAAAGAGAAAGATGTTAACTTTTTGGAAAATATGTGGCAAGATGTTAGGCTGCGATGCATAGTTGAAGGGAAAAAAAACGTGTTTTTATAGTTAAAGCATGGAATTTTTTTATATAAAACAGTGATAAATTAACATAAAATGAACTGTTTACCTTTCAACAAAGTTAAGTCAGGTCATCTGGACGATTTCTTTTTTTGTTGAGACGTTTCGCCCTTCATCCAAAGGACTTCATCAGTTCGAGGAGCCACAACAAACTCAGTCCCACAAGCAGCACACTCACATAGTGGGCCAACCAGTTTTCTGATAAGATAGTTTCTGGGGCCCGCCCTCTCCACCGTCGTCTCCTCTGAGGCAGCCATAGCCAAAGTGGTTCAAAACATCGTGACCTGACTTAACTTTGTTGCATTTTTTTGTACCTGGATTATTAAGCATGAACTTTGAGCTTTACCTTTCACATTTTCTTCATAACATTTAGACTCTTCCACCATGATGCTTTAATCTAACTCCTCTTTATGTTTTTTTTATCTCTGTCTCAGGTTCACATTCAGAACGCCACGCTCGCCGGAGGCGTGGCGGTGGGAACGGCAGCAGAGTTCATGCTGATGCCTTATGGGTCCCTTATTGTGGGGTTCTGCTGTGGGGTTGTGTCCACGCTCGGTTACTTCTTCCTCACGGTACAGGCTCTGCCTTTGTTTCGCAGCTTTCATAAGATAAGCGGTGACTTTGTGTTTAGATATTAGAAGCTCATCAGCTGTCTTGTTCATTTTGTCCAGCCCTTCCTGGAGAAGCATTTGAAGATCCAGGACACGTGTGGAATCCACAACCTGCACGCCATGCCTGGGGTCATCGGGGGTATAGTTGGAGCCATCAGTGCTGCAGCTGCTTCAGAGACGGTTTATGGGCACGAAGGGTAAGTTTTATTTTAATTTTATAATCCAGCAGTCAGAGAACACAGGGGCCTCTGAGATGAACAAACACTGAAATAACAGATGTGGACAGAAGTGATGTACGTCTTCTTGTCACCTTTTTGTGTTTTCACTGGTGAAAGAACATTGAGTTACCCCTCGTCTTTTTTTAATCTAAAGGCTGGTCAACACCTTTGACTTTGAGGGTGAATTCAAGCACATGGTTCCCACAGTACAGGGAGGACACCAGGCGGGAGGCCTCTGCGTGGCTCTCTGCTTCGGTATCGGCGGCGGCATCATTGTCGGTAAGAAAAACTCCACCTTTTTGCACAGAAAATACATAAACGTTTGCATCGTATTGGTTCATCTGACCAACAAAACGTGATTCTAATTTTGTCCATTTTTCTTCCTACAGGTGCAATTTTAAGATTGCCAATCTGGGGGGATCCTGCAGATGACAACTGCTTTGATGATGAGGTTTACTGGGAGGTGAGCTTCTTGCATCTAATAAAAATGATGTGATTTACAGAGCAGGTTTACAAATTACGAAACATTTCACTGTGTACTGTTCCCTACCCTCTTTTCCATCACGTTAAATCTTCCACCGTTAATCCCTCACCTCTATTTATAAAGGAATCTTCCACAGATTTTCCAATTTCCGATATTAAACAAAGAAACAGAAAGTCAGACAATTTTCAGTCAGGTCATCTGGACAGTTTCGTTTTTTGCTGAATCGTTTCATCTTCCATCCAGAAGGCTTCATCAGTCAAGGAAACACACAACACAAAACTGATTATTCCCCCAAACAGCTTACTCCAAAGTGGAACAAACCAGTTATGTTGGTGCTAAGATGGTGTCTTTGGCACGCTCCCTCCTCTTTTGCCAGCCCTCTTCCTCATTGACAGTCATGTCAAACTGGTTCAGAAAGTCAGACATTGTGTCGCTATTTATTTATACGCTTGGTATTTTGTCTACAGGTGCCAGAAGATGAGGAGAGCGCCCCACCGACGCTGCAGTACAACAACCACTTTCGCAACAAGGACGTGTGAGTGTTCATTTGATTTATCTGTCAAAATCTTTCCAATCATGGAGATGATTTACTGAAATATGAATGCAGGCAGGAGCCACTTTTTAAGAGTTGGACAAGTGTGTTGCGTTCAAGTTCCTTTTGGTGGCAGCAGAGCTCAGTTTAAAGGAGGGTGATGCAGCTTTCTGTCTGTTTTCTGAGAATTACAGAAAGGTTAGGTTGTGGTTGATGACAACATGAGGTCACGGAGACGCAGACGTCTCCACGGACGATTACAGAATGCTCACGTGATCCTGGGCTCAGACAAACTCCACTGAGCAGGGTGTTGATGGAGGTTACAGAACTTTCACGTGTTTGACTTCCCAAAGTGACCTTGAAATTACGCAACAATCCTGATGTTTACAGTGGCAACACATCCACTGTTGGCTCGCGATTAGGGTGATCAGAGGCAGAAACTAAAACAGGTTTTATGAAACTTGATTCTTTTAACGTGCTTTATTTTGTTCTTTGCTTTTGCAGAGTGGAGTCAAATTTCACAGTGGAGCAGGACGCCAGGACACGATCATGAACACTCAACCAGTTTTATTTATTTTATTTTTCTGATGCATGGGAATATTCATAAATGATGGAAGAAATGTTTTAGTTTGAATAGTAAATATTCACATTTTTGCATTGGCTTGCCTCATTCCAGAACTAAAAGGTAAACTGAATGATGGGAAACTTGATCATTCTTTACTTTGCACCATCTTCCTTTTAGACTCGGCCACTTTGCACATGTGAGACTTATCTCAGGTTTCTTATTTTATGTTTTCAAGGTTTTCTTGTGTGTGCAATGAAACAAATAGCAGCAGTTTGAAGAAAATCATTTAAAAGACAATTTTCTTGGCTTTTTGTTGTCTTCAGCAAAATCCTTTTGTTTTTTTTGTCATTGTTATGAGATAATGTGAATAGTTTTTTTTGTCTTTTTATGATATTAAAAAAAAAACATACAGCTGTTTATCGTGGCACTGAATATGATTTGAGAAATGTAATAATTGCAACACTTTTTATGTTTTTAAATTTTTACATGAAATCCCCTTAACTTTGCATCATAACAATTTTTTGATGGCGTTTAAGGCATTAGTTTGTTATTTTTTAAATATTTGCATTCATTATCTAAGGAAGAAGTGGGTAAAAGATAATGGATGGATGGATGGATACAGCCTCTTAAATATATATTTTTTTGACAATTACCTCACACATACTAGTTTAAATTATTAAAATATGTAAAAAAAAATAAATAAAAAAAACTATTGATTTTGTATAAAAACTAAATACAAGGTTAAAGTGCAATCTGTAACCTAATGAGTTTGTCAAAGTTCATTCATTTTAAGCTGAATATGTTAAATTATTATTGTTACTCTTTATTTAACCAGACCAATCTAAAAGGTCACGGATCTGTTTTTCAAGGTCGGCCTGGGCCTGAAGGCAGTCTAAACATTCATGTTTGTGGACTGTGGGAGGAAACCGGAGAAAATCCACACAAACTCTACACAGAACGAAGCCCAGGTCCCATCCGGGGCTTAAACCCAGGACTTACTTGTCCACGTTACTAACCACTAAACCACCATGCTGCCTGAAAAACTATGAATATATTTGTAATGTTTAAAAAGTTTGTTGATGAATATGTGATTTCTGAGTGAAATAAAATTTATAAATAAACAGTTGTAAATGCATCAAAGTTCATGCTCAATATTCCAGGTAGAAAATCCAACAAAGTTCAGTCAGATCATCTGGATGGTTTCTTCTTTTGTTGAGACGTTTCATCCTTCATCCAAAGGACTTCATCTGTTTGAGGAGCCCCAACAAACTCAGTCCCACAAGCAGCACACTCACATAGTGGACCAACCAGTTTGATGGTGATAAGATGGTTTCCTCCATTGACTCCTCTGAGGCAGCCATAGCCAAAGGAATGAGTTTGTTGGGGCTCCTCAGACTGATGAAGTCCTTTGGATGAAACTTCTTAACAAAAAAAGAAACCATCCAGAGGACCTGACTAAACTTTGCTGGAGTTGTAAATACATTTCTGATTTATGACATCAAGAAGAAAAACTTCACTTGTCTGCTCACTTTTTGTTTTTTTTATAAATGTTTTCATCTTTTACAAGCTAAAAAAGGACGGTATCTTCTTAGTTTTGGAGCCCCGTAGCATTTTACTGTTTAGTGGGGATGGACTGAGGAGAAAAGTCAACCCTTTAATGTGATGCTGTGGTAACAGAAACAAATTATATTCCAGTTTTGTTCTGCAGATTTGGTCAAAGCGATGCAAAAAACTGACACAAAAACATTTTTTGTACATATGTTTTTTTAATTTTATTTTTCAAAATTAGGATAGATTTACAATTTAATTGTTTAGTTTGCAAATATAAATTTGCTTAACTGTTCCTTTGCATGCGACAGCAGCTCCGATGGCCATAATTTCCTGGCTCTGCACGCATGCTGTTGCCTGCCCACATATCGTACGTTGTACACACAGATGATTCCCACATGAGCTGCAGAGAGGAGCCTCGTCCAGACTCTGCAGCAACAAAAGCAAGCTTAGTGCTGTTTTCTTTTGTCATCAGTAACGCGTTTGAGTAAAGGAGGTAATGGTGCCACAAGTGCTCCAATTAAACGCGATGCAGCCCTCCTGAGGAAAAAGAAAATCCTCCATTGGTCTCTATACGTCCCCCATCACACTTACACATAGAACAGGCTTCTTCTCATCATGCCCCCATGTGGTTCCTGCCACAGCTCTTCTCATGTTTATTCATCAGCCACTTAGAGAGCAAATTCAGTCTTGATAAAACAAAATCGGACTTGTTGGTATAGTTTTAGGCCTTTTCCTTTAAGCTTTTAGCAGCCTGGCCTTATGTCATCATGGACCCTGCTACACCTGGGTCTTCCACACATGACACTGCACAGCCGTGAGAGGAGAAAGGCGCTGGGAGACCACAGAGACAGTGAGATGGATAAACTTGAGAACTTAAAAGGGCATTAAAAGGGGGCAAAGAGGCCTCACTTTCTTTTGCTGATGACTGACTGACTGTTCGGCTCAATCGTGATCTGTGATTGACAGGTCAAGAGAAGGAGAGAACACTGGAAAACTCAAAAGGAGCTGCACAAAACATGCTCCTATACAAGGAGGGGCCCACATAGAGGCTCGTTAATGATAAAGAAAACACCAGGAAAACGTGTGTTTTCTCTGCATGCGGTGTTTGCCGTTTGCAAATCTGTAAAATATGCAGAACTCTGCATCTAAACACGACGTGGGAGGTCATGCTGGTGAACTGGATTGTTTGCTCAGTTTACAGTCAACATTTATTCTAAGAAACCAACATATTCTCTGGAATGATGTTTTTTCTTTTTATTGCTGGCACCTTCCTTTGTTATCTATGTGTCAGTCATTCAACTGTAAATCATCCTTGAATTATCTGTGGTTACATTTCCAGTTGTTAAAGAAGCATTCAGGAGTTCATGTTACTCAGTCATAAAGAGAGCTGTAAAGATGCATCTGAACGCAGCTGAGTCCATAAAGTGTTCATAAACTATCCAGGCGTTGTTCTCTCATCATTTCTTCTGCTCTCATTTTCAGCTTAAAGCTGATTTCTCAGCAACAACTCCAAAACTTTTCTTATCATTCAGATTTTTGTGATGGCTGATCCAGGGAAGATGCTTTTTAAAAAAAAAAACATTTTAAATATTTATTTACAAGATATTTTCAGGTGAATTTTCCTGCTTGATTCCACAAATAATAGAACAAATGCTTAATAAATGTTGCATATGCAATAAGTATCTAAAATACCAAATATAACAAAACCAGTTTTGACAATTTTTTCAAGAGTAAATTATGAAAGCTATATAAGATTACAAAAGAAGCACCCACACCTGTCTCCACCTTTATTTGCCCCATTCTGGACCCTTGAGCAAGGCCCTTAACCCCCACCATCTGTTCAAACCGGTGCCCTATATAGCCAGGTACCACTTTACAATAAGGCTCCCCTTAAAGACTGCTAATAAATAGTTTATAGATACGTTGTTAATTCCTCTGTAAACATTTTATAAATCATTAATAACTGCTTATTATGCATTAACTAAGGGTGACAGAGAGACAAAACTGACCAGTTTCTTGCCAAATAGTGAGCCAAATCTGTTCATCTATATATTTCATCTAGAGTTGTTATATTAAACATTTCAGATTAAATTACTACCTTGTGAGCACAATAAGCATTTGTTAACCTATTTCTTTAGCATATAATATTAGTTGTAGATACTTATAATGCAGTGGTAAAATACAATATTATATGCTAAAGAAATAAGTTTGCAAATGAACAGATTTGGCTCACTATTAGGGAACAAACTGGTCAGTTTTGTCTGTCACCCTTAATTAATGCATAATAAGCAGTTATTAATGATTTATAAAGTGTTTATAGAAGAATTAATAACTTATCTATACACTGTTTATTAGTCATCTATAAGGGAAGCCTTATTGTAGCAACTCTCTGCTCCACACAGAAGGCTGTGGTAGCTCTGCGGTCTGTGGTTGTGTCAGGAAAGCTTCTGGGATAAAAATAATTGCTGTCTTCATGCGACTTACTTCACTGTGGCGACCCCTGATGATGAGAGCAGCTGAAAGAAAAAAAAAGAGTAAATTACGAAAGATGATTACTGGGATTTGTAAACTATGTGAATCCTTTAGGAACTGGAATATATATATATATATATATATACAATAATTACAGCAATAAATTTTCTTTAAAAACTATGAAGGTAGTAAACAAAAACATACATACAGGCACCTGCCACTCCATTGCATTTTTTTTTTTTTTGGATTGCTTGAAAGTGTTTAGATAATTCATCATCATTTTGCTGTTTAATAAATGCAGTAACTGACGGGACAGTTTGGCACCTGAGCTGTTTTATTGTGTAAACAAACAGAAGATTTGATATTATGCTGAAATAATGCAGATCTTCCTGGAAAAAGTCTGTATTTGCACAGCAGCTGTCAGTACTGTGCTCCGGTGTGTTTATGTATCATTCTGCCTCGAGTTACACAGAAAGTGACCTCTGCATTTCCACACAAGTCCTGCAGAAAGATGCTACATTCTATCTTGTTCTTAAGTTAGCACCATGAAAATAAAATCCCAGTTTGTTTCCACAAAACAAAACATCCTTTTCTATCCTTATACAACTGAATAACTCTTCCTGGGCACTCAGCTGTCAGCTGATTGTTCTGAGATGTTTCTGTAGGTACTTTTTTGTTCTCCTTGCTCACTTGTTGAAGCCACGTTTGCTCCAGAGTCTCTATTAGGAATGAAAGACATTTCAATTCAGTTTATTTATATAACACCAAGTCACAACAGAAGTCATTTCAGGGCACTGAACAGAAACATTCATATATAAAAATAATAATTTAACATTATTTATCTGAGGAGCAGACTGCTTTGAATTTAACTCCATCACAAACCCTCATCTTGAGCAAGCATGAAGGTGACAGTGGAAAGGAAAAACTCCCTCATGAGGAAGAAACCTTTTAGCAGAAACAGGCTCAGGACAAGTGGCCATCTGCTTCGACGACCTGTGTTTGAGAGGAACAGATACACAATGACAGGTCAAGAATCACATGTTAAGATAGAAATAGTATCAAATGAAATCTATTCAATTTTAGCAGATCATTTCAGGACATTAAGTCAATTTGTCCTCCAGTAGTCTAAGCCTACAGCAGCATAACAAGCCAACCCTAACTATAGGTTTTATTTAAAAACAAAAAGGAAAGTCTTAAGCCCAGTCTTAAAACTGGACAATGTGTCAGCCTCACAGACACAAA